AATGACGCATAGTTTATTTATGTATAACACAATAGTGAATATTTGATTTGAAGTTTATTTGAGTTTTATTTATGATTTTAACTGTTATTTAATATGGCTAGTTCAGCAAAAAAACAAAAAGTGCAAGATAGAAAGAGTATCAGAGAATTTCAAACTTGGTGGACAGAGAAATATGGCATGATTAGTAAAGGTGACAAGGCGGTGTGTGTTTTATGTTCTGGAACATCGTCTGTGAAACGGCATTTTGAAACAAATCACAAATCCGTTAGTCAAAAAAGCGAACCACGGCAAGTTGCGCGGCTACAAATGTCATTGTTCGGCATAGTAAACCTTTTCAAGAGGGACAGTTTTTACAGGAAATCTGGTTAGCATGGGCGCCCCCTCTTTTTGATGATTTCGATAATAAAGATAAGATAATTCAGCGCATCAAAGATACTCCTCTGCCCAGAAACACAATAAAAGAAAGAATCTTAAAACTGGCCGAAAATGTAACAGATCAACAAAAAATTGACATTAGCTCTGCTTCTTTTATATCGGTATGTCTTGACGAAAGCACTGACGTCGCTAAATCTGCTCATTTAGCTGTTTTTGCTCAATATTACGTTGGAAACGTCATTAAGGAAGAAAAATTGTTTCCGTAACAACTGATGTTGCTCCAAGTATGGTGGGTAAAAAAAATGGTTTCATAAGTTTATTTTAAACAGACGTAGCATTCGATTCTTCAATTCCACTGCATCATTCACCAACAAGCCTTGTATGCTAAGAGTGGTTTAACATCTCTTGATAATGTAATGGTGGTAGTCACAAAAATAATCAACCTCGTCTCGTCGCAGGCTTTAAACAGGCGAAAGTTCGATGCTTTGTTAGATGAAGTCAACTCGGTGTACAATGACTTACTGTACAATAATGTTCGCTGGTTGAGTCGCGGGAACGTACTTCAAAGATTTGTTGATTGCTTGGAAGAAAGCAGACTGTTTCTGCAAAATGAGGGAAAAGTTGAAGAATACCCACAGTTGTTAGATGTTATGTGGCTTTCAAAATTGATATTTTTTACAGACATATGCCAACATTTAAATAAGTTAAACATGAAGCTTCAAGGCATAAATAAAACAATTATCGTCATGGTAGATCTCATTCGCGCTTTTGAGACTAAACTGCAAGTTTTCAGGAACGATATTATCACAAGAAACTACAAGTATTTTCCAAACTTGAAAAAATGTATCAACGATTTGGAAATACATGAGAAACCAGACGAAGACCAAGTTACTGTAGAATTTATTTCTGTGATTGATTCCTCAATCAGGGAATTTTCAGCGAGATTTTCTCAGTTCAAAGAATTATCGGAAATACTCAAGCTTATTATGTACCCTGATGAGACGTCATTGGATAAACTGAATTTGTCCTAATTGGATTGGTTGGAAATTGAAGAATTTGAAATGCAGTTGATTGATTTCCAGTCTAGTTCAATATGGATTCAAAAATTTATTGAAACAAGGAAAGAGTTAGAATTAATTGAAACAGAAAGATAATAATAAAAAATTAATAATAACAAAATTCTGGAAACATGGAATGCGTTACCAGACACATTTAATTGTTTGAAGAAGCTGGCTCATGCTATTTTAGCAATATTTTCATCAATCTATGCCTGCGAGTCATTATTTTCAGAGATAAATAACATTAAAGACTCGGTTAGAAACCGTTTGACAGATGACTCTAGTCCAGAGGCGTCCAAACTTTTTGCTGCGAGGGCCAGTTTGGTATTTAAATTCATTAGCGGGGGCCAAGCATTGTAAATATGTGAATTAAAAAACCTTATTACGAGTAAAGCAGCATTGAATTTTATTTTTTATAGTAAATTACAGATATAACAATACTAAACAAACATGTCTAAATTATATTATTATAAAATTATTTCATGCAATTTTTAATGGGAATGGTGGAACTGGGCTTTTTCCTGGAGAGTTTCTTCAAAGTTGGGATTCAAATCGGAAACACCAATTATAAGCAATGATTGCAAATGATCATCCGATAAATTTGCCCTATATTTAGATTTCAGATACTTCATCCTGGAAAAAGTTTGTTCGCACATATAGGTAGTGCCATACATAGAAATAAATTTACCAGCCAATTGCTTTAAATTTGGAAACTTTTTTGCGTCCAAAAATTTGTAAAAATCGATCAAGTTCCTTCCTTGTATTTGTTCTTGATTTGATCGCTAGCTTGAAGATCAATTATTTCCATTTGAAACTGACTTGAAACGTCGCCAACGTTGCAGTCATATGGATTTTGAAACAGCCGAATTTCCCTTGAATTTATGTCAAGATCAGAAAAACGCTTTTGAAATTCTAGTTTTAAATCCGCGATTACTTTTACTGCAAATATGGTGGGAAATCTTTCGTCAGTTTCTGTACTAAATTTTTCACAGCACGTGAAATGGGAAAAATTACATTCATTCATATGACTTTTGAGCAATATCAGCTTAGCTCTGAATGCGTTGATTTGCTCAAATAAATCAAAAATTAAGTTGTTTTTACCTTGGAGATTTAAATTCAAGTTATTTACGTGTGTCACGACATCTGCAAAAATTGCCAACTTCCAGAGCCACTCTGCATCTGAGAAAAGCGTTTCAGGGTGATTCTTTTCCGCAAGAAAAATTTTAATTTCCTTTCTGAGCTTGAAGAACTGCAATAACACTTTTCCACAGCTAAGCCATCGAAGTGCTGTATAATACGACAAGTCAACAGACTCAGATTCAATTTCTTCGAGGAAAGATCGAAATTGGCGATGATTGAGTGCACGTGATCGAATAAAGTTTACGACAGAAACAACTGGTTTCAAAACGCAGCTCATGTCGACATGTTTTACACATAGGGCTTGTTGGTGGATGATACAGTGCAGAAAAATTGGTACTGTTGCTCCTGCGCTTTCACAAGCTTTTCTTATTAGCCCAACCACCCCAATATTCGCCCCAGACATGTTTCTTCCTCCGTCAATTGTCACACCTTGGAGTCGATTCCAGTCCAAGTTATATTTGGTCAACGTCTGTTGTAGTTCCTTAAAAATATCTGCTCCAGTTGTAGTGCCATGCATGCTGTTAACCGCTGCTAATTCTTGGGTGACATTAAGATCGTCGACAACTCCACGAACAAATACTAAAAGTTGTGAGGTGTCACTAACGTCGGTCGATTCATCCATCGCGATAGAATAGTGAGTGAAACGCTGTGCTTTCCCAGAAATCTGGTGGAGTATATTATTGCCAATATCGTCAATTCGACGAGCAACAGTATTGCGGGAAAGACTTATCGTTTTGAAAAGTTTCACCTTTTCCGGACATAATACCCCAACAGCTTCCATCATACACTCTTTAACGATGTTTCCATCCATAAAGGGTTTCCCTTTTTTCGCCAACAAATAAGCAACTTTCATGCTAACTAAAGTCAATGATTCATTTTCCGAGTTTGCCTTCCTAAATAAATTTTGCTGAGAAGACAAACTACGACTCAATGTTTCAAATTTTTCAGTACGCTGCTTGTCCTTAAATTGTGAGTAAGCTGAAGCATGTTTTGTTTCATAATGTCGACGTAAATTGTATTCCTTCATTACAGCAACAGTGTCATTGCAAGTTGCACATATAGCTTTGCCATTCTTTGACTGTGATTGCACAAAGAAATATTTGAATCCCCATTCTTCTTTAAAAACGCGGCACTCGTCATCTACTTTTCTTCTTTTTGTTTCCATGTTCAACTTTAAAAAATAATATTAACATGATAATTAAATTATAATATATTAAATATAAATCTAAACATACCAATTTACAATATATCAACTGTAAAGAATGTAAATAAGCTCCGCGGCCGACGAATTTTTGGTTTGTCGTGGACAATCTCGTAGCTTTGCAGGCACTGCAGTTGAGTGCAGTCTGCCGCTCCGCGCCGCCTACGTACAGTCAGAGTACAAAATCATTCATGTTGTCGAGCTTCCGAGTCGCATCGCCGACTACCGAAAAAACTTGAATACCAGACTGTACTTTTTCGAGCGTGATACCGTGCTCATTCTAACCGAATGCGCTCTTCATCTGCGCGAGATCTAATACCGACGCGCCACGCTACATTTATATTTTACGAAATTTTTCAAAATCCTTGGCGGGCCGGATAAAATCGCCTGCCGGGCCGGGTTTGGCCCGCGGGCCGTAGTTTGGACACCTCTGCTCTAGTCCAACATGCATTCTGCTAAAAAAACATTTTACAACCCTAACATATGTTATTTGTCATCTAATCTGCAACAACAGAAGTCGCACTAATTTTACTTTAATTTAAATTACGCGTATAATTGAAACATTGCAAAATGTTCCTATTTTGTAGTAAATAAAGAGTTTTGTGTTGATAGTATTTATTACTATTATATTCCCAATAATCACAAAGTCAAAATTTTTTATGGCACGTCTATGACCACATTAAACATTTCTTTAGAAAAATGGTAAGTTGATACGTAAAGGTTCGCCATCCCTGTCATAGATGGATCAAAATCGTCAGAAGGGAAGTATACTGCCAGACACTTCGAATTAAGCAAGCTTACAGTCTGGGTATGTACTGTACTGTATTCCAAGAGGAAGTATTTCCTATTGACATGGGTGCTAAAATCTTTCTTGAAAGAGGGGTGACAGTCAAGCCGCTCTCCAGGCACTGCAGGCCGTGAAAACGGTGTTCTGATTAATGACTGTAAGAGAACTTTAAATACACTGAGTTGAGATAACAGAATTTCTCTAATCTGGGTCCCAGGTCAGTGGAGTTGCTGGCAGATGAGCTAGCACGAGAGGGCAGCGCTAAAGCGTTTGTGGGGCCAGAGCCAGCATAAGATTGGACTGTGGGCTGAAGAGAGACATCGAATATTGTGGACCAATTGCATTAAGGTTCTAATGGGTGTCTTTACTGGACACTGCCGATTCAAGATACACCACAACTTATTGAGCCTTAATTTGCGTTAAGAACATTGGACGCATAGAGACATTTGATAACGTTATCTACCTAATATGTAATTTATGTAAATGTACATGGGATCCCTATAGGAGGCCGAACGGAATATATCTTGGCCATTCTAAAAGCCGAAAAGATAACCTTGGTGTAGACTCTGCAAAGGTATAGACGCAAATTTAATTTAAATGTCTAAAAAACTATGTTATTTGTAGGTTTATTGAATAAAAATAAATAATTTTCAATAACAGAAGTGTATTTTATATATCAAAGAGATGTACAAGAAAAAAGGTGTTAGAAAAATCTGAAACATGCGAATATCTCAAAAACGAAATGTTTCTGAGAATAATGTTTTTAAAGAACACGATTTGTTTTTGAAAAAATTGACCGCATCAAGTTTTTCTAAGACCAAATGAAGAAAACATTTTTGACTGACATTTTACAGGATAATAAATCATAGTGTTTTATTTATAAACTGAAATTTTAAAACTCTAATACATAAAGCTTAAAAAGAATCATTTTGTACAAAAAACTTCGCTTAAACATTATGTTGCATTTTCACTTTGTCAACTCTTTAAACGATTAAATAAACAAATAAAAACCGATTCTTAAACGAGTAAGTTAATAAGTCTTTTTTTACTCATCCATTGGTTCCCCCAATTTCTTTTGCACCACATCATCCTCAACACTTACACATTCCGTAATATCCATTATATTCTCATTTAATAAACCATTCTCGTCTGGTTCCAACAATTTTTCATCACCATCTAAAGTTGATGAATCACCATTATTTTTTGTAACCTCTTCAGATGTAGAATCATCTTCACACAAATCCACCGTCATTTTTATTTCTACATCGTCAAGTTCTTTATCCGATGATTTCGTTATTATTGGTTCTTCGATTTTTATTTCATCTTTTGATATATCAACTGAAGAAGAACTGGGTTCTTCTGTTCGTCTCATTAAACCTAAAACATCTAACATACTGTGCGTTACCGTAGCTGCTTTAGCTTCTGCTTCTGAAGGATATGCTGATTTTCGTTCACAAACTGTTAAATGTTTCGCCATAGAATTCCCTAAAAACAAATAAATAAATAACTTTTTATTTATTGAATTTTTTTTTGATTCGTACCGTCCTTATCATTGTGACCACAAACGCAATACATTTTGAATGGTAAACTTTGTATGGGAATTGTTGTTTTTAAATCTTTACATATTAATGTGTGTTTTAACATAGCTCGTTTACAGCATGTTGTATATTGGCAGTTGTCGTTAGAACAATTTTGTATCGACCTGTAATAGTTATTTATATTATAAGTGGGCTAGGAACATAATTACAATACGAGTGGGGTTAATTGCACGACGAGGTCGTAGACCGAGTCGTGTAATCACACGAGTACTGTAATTATGCTCTAGCCCACGTGTGATATACAGCACTTTATCTACGACTGCTAAAAATTACGAAAAAATAAATTTCTTTAAAGTCTATTTGAGATTTATAAAAATGATTGTTGACAATTTTGAACTGTCAGTTTCAACATGTTTATTCATCTGGAATAAGTGTTTTGAAATGTAAAAACATAACAATTAATGTTTATAATAAATAGTATTGTTTCTTTGTAAGTAGATAGCACTTTTTCTTTTGTATTGTTGCTCGTTTCAATAAATTAAGTCTGTTCTGATTAGGCTAAAAATGCGTTACGTAATGAAACCAGTGCGGTAATGAACTTCATTACGTAACTCAAATCACCTCAAATGAGTGCGGTAATGATGACTTATCCAAGCAGTCGTAGATAAAAGTTTTTTATATTACAAGTGGGCTAGAAGCATAATTACAGTACGAGTGTAGAGAATTGCACGACGAGGTCGTAGACCGAGTCGTGTAATCACACGAGTACTGTAATTATGCTCTAGCCCACGTGTGATATACAGCATTTTATCTACGACTGCTAAAAATTACTAAAAAATCAATTTCTTTAAAAAAGTCTATTTGACATTTATAAAAATATTTTGAAATGATTGTTGACAATTTTGAATTGTCAGTTTCAACAACATGTTTACTCATCTGGAATAAGTGTTTTGAAATGTAAAAACATAACAATTAATGTTTATAATAAATAGTATTGTTTCTCTGTAAGTAGATAGCACTTTTTCTTTTGTATTGTTGCTCGTTTCAATAAATTAAGTCTGTTCTGATTAGGCTAAAAATGCGTTACGTAATGAAACCAGTGCGGTAATGAACTTCATTACGTAACTCAAATCACCTCAAATGAGTGCGGTAATGATGACTTATCCAAGCAGTCGTAGATAAAAGTTATTTATATTACAAGTGGGCTAGAAACATAATTACAGTACGAGTGTGGAGAATTGCACGACGAGGTCGTAGACCGAGTCGTGTAATCACACGAGTACTGTAATTATGCTCTAGCCCACGTGTGATATACAGCATTTTATCTACGACTGCTAAAAATTACTAAAAAATCAATTTCTTTAAAAAAGTCTATTTGACATTTATAAAAATATTTTGAAATGATTGTTGACAATTTTGAATTGTCAGTTTCAACAACATGTTTACTCATCTGGAATAAGTGTTTTGAAATGTAAAAACATAACAATTAATGTTTATAATAAATAGTATTGTTTCTCTGTAAGTAGATAGCACTTTTTCTTTTGTATTGTTGCTCGTTTCAATAAATTAAGTCTGTTCTGATTAGGCTAAAAATGCGTTACGTAATGAAACCAGTGCGGTAATGAACTTCATTACGTAACTCAAATGAGTGCGGTAATGATGAGTTATCCAAGCAGTCGTAGATAAATAAATATTATTAAGATTAAAATAAATTTGTATAAAATCACTTACGGATAATGATCTTTTATACTTAAATGTCCCCCACACTCTTTACAAACGTGTTTATCCAAATTGAAATTTAATATTACATTGCTAATGTCAACGTTGATTTGTTCTCCTGGTTCATCTTGTCGCGATTTTGGAACCATGATAATAGCTCGAGGAACAGGCCAAGGAACTAATCCTGCTTTTCTTCTCATTGAAGTATGCATTTTTATAATATGGTCTTTTAATAAATCTTTTTGGACAAACCAAAGTGCGCATTTTGGACATTTTTTTGCACCTATTTTCTTGCTGTGTTTTTGTAAATGTTGCACGAAATAACTCATGTTTTGCGTAAGAACCCGTGTGTTCGAATATACAGACATGCATTTTAAACACAAAGGGCATTGTATTGAGGTTCCTCCGTCGTGTTTTTCATAAAAATGATCGACTGCTTGTCTATGACTAGAGCAACGCATACGACATGTTAAACATTGATAGGGTAACTCGGAAGGGACGTGCTCTCGCGACATATGTTTTCCGAGACTGTAAGGATTGTAAAATTTTCCTTCACATATAACACACACGAAGATTTCGTCTACTTTTGTGTCGTTCGGGTGTGATTTTTGTATGTGTTTTTCAAGTAGTTCGGCCGAATTGAATTGTACTAAACAATATTTACATAAAAATTTAATGTTGCTTGAACTGATGTGGTGGAATAGATGGAGCATTAATTTAATGTTGTTGGTAAACTGAGATTTGCACATTCCACATTTATAAACAACGTTTGTAATCTTTGGTGCTCTACCTTCTGGAGCATCGATTGTACCGTAATAATAATGTTCTAATGGAACCATTTGTTCCGGAATATCGGGAGACTTCCGCGATTTTGATGATTCTGGTACTGAATTATCTTTAATTCGTTTATTTTTATACGGTCTCATAGTGCTCTCTGTGGTTAACATAAGTGGTGCTAATGGGGGTATATTTTGAGGTTTACTAATTGGAGGAGGTGGCGATGGGGTTGTTTGTGAATGAATATTATTTAAACTCCAATTTTTGAACGGATTACTCGAGATTTTCGTTAATCTATGCACTAAATTAATACCATCAACCTTCGTCTGTTCCGACAAATGAGTAATGATATTATCAAAAGCTAAAGCTGGAGTGGTTCCATAACGTTCTCTCCACACTAATTCATCTAAAAATTGTTGTATGATTTGCCGCGAAAGTAGTGAAAGCGTATTTTGGAACATTCTTGGTACAATTCTTCGTAAATAATTCATAATCGTCAGATTACTTAATGAATCATTAACAGACGCTTGCACAACATTTTTAAAACCCAAAGCGTGTAACGTACTTTTATCAACAGTTAAATCAGTTATAATAATACTTCCCGGGTGTACCCACTTAACTAAAGGTTCCAAAATCTTTGAAAACCTCCTTCTATAATTCCTATCCCCATCAACCATCGGTTCAACAGCTTTTAATCGCACCAAATTTGTTGCAACATCCAAAACTCCTAATACCTCAACTTTAACTTGTCTTTGATTACCGTCTTGGGATGTCGTCCCCAAAGAGATTACACCTACTTCTACTTTCATTGATGGATTACCCAATAATCCAAGGTGTGTGTGAATTGCAACAGTACAAATCGCTCTCAACCATGTATTCATTCCTTTCACATAGAGATTATCAACTTTAACCCATTGCACAACGTTTTGAACGTTTGTCTGACAGGCCCAATGATATATTAATTTAAGGATAACGGTGGGTGGATGTGGAGATCCTTCGAACACTGAATTACTAAAGACAGAAACGAATTTTTGAGGACAACAGTCTGAAATCCACACGTAACCTCCCGAAAAAGGAAATTTTGTGACATCACTGTACATTCCAAGTTTGAGTTTATTACCATGAGTACAAGTTTGTTCGGAACGAATCAATCCGACCTGAATTAACCTAAAGATAAAGAGTTTTATAAAATTATTTTATTCTTAAAAAAATAATTTACCATTCCGTGAATTTTGTTGGAATATGCATCAAAACCGCTTTAACTTTGGAATCTAATATTTGTCGATCGGTAGTTACATTATCCTTAGCGCGAAGATGAGGCCTAGCGACGACAACTAAGGAAGGAAAAGTTTTACCTTGTAATTTATTAAAAGAGACCTCTCGAGAATCGGGGGCAGTGGCGGTTCGACTTTCATCTGACGTAAGATCGACAATAGCAGTTTGTTTTTGTTGAAGATTACCGTGACTTAAACCCCCTACAGCTGTTGCTTCAGTAGCTCTTTGAGTAGTAGCAGCGGGTGTCGTAACAGATACAATCGGTGGTGGGATCGTAGATTTCGTCACTTTTATTGGAGGTGCAGAAGTCGTAGGGAGATTAGCGGCTGCGCGCGTTCTTTTTCTGGTTTGAGGAGCTTTTACATTAGAAACACTATTAACGCTAGAAACTGCCGCTAAAGTTGCTGATGTTGCAGGCGTCATAGTTCCTACAACAACTCCTGATCGCGCGTCCATTACTAATTGAAAAGCTTGATTATTTTTAACAGCTTGTGGTTGCACAACAGTTGCCGGTGGTGTCGGAGTTGAGTTGGATTCTAAATAGAAAATATTTAGATTTAAGTATAGTAAAATCTCGATATAACGAACCTCGTTAGAACGGACAAATATTTTTAAGGCATACTATTAATATTATCTATTTAATACATCAGTATATTTATCAGAGCTGGGCAGTAGTTAACTAACTACATAGTCAACTAATTTTGTGTAAAAGTAGTTGTATTCTAACTACTTTTCTTCTATTAGTAGTTATACTCGATTATTTTATGCTGGCATAAAATATTCCTCATTAACTCCTCATTGTTAACTACTTTAGGTATTCTAACTATTTTTGTTTATTTTAATTCCTTTTAAGTAATTTAACTACTTTTAAGACAGTTTAAGTACTTCCAAATATCTAGTATACTCTTCCACATCCAGATCGGTTTTTATGACAGTCATAAATAAAAGCCGGGGTGATTTTTGTCCGCTCGAGTACCTTAAAAGACTTATGACAGTCATACAAGGACAGGGTAGAACTTAAATTTTTTTAAACTAAAATTTAATAAAAAACCAAAGTTTTAGTTATAACAACTAAAATTGAATTATAAAAACTAGTATAAAAGTCTTAGAAAAAAATATTACTTTTAGGAATGTCTAAATAATAGAATAACAAAATTTTAAAGAATCTAATTATTCTCCGCCCTCTTTTGTAAGTAGACAATGCATGCCTCCTCAAAACATTTCTTAGAAAAAATATGTACTTAATATTAGAAACACAACAAATAAGAGAATAATGAGTATTTATATATGACCCTATTATTTTTCTACAATTTGCCAGTAAAGTGTGGTCCTTAATGCCGCCCTGAGTGAGGAATCCCAGCATTTTACAATGGGGAACTACCTGTTACAACCCCGTCTTTGTTAGTTTTACAACTACAATAGGAAAGTGACAGAGTCATAAAAACCGATCGCCGTGTGAAAGACTACATCTACTTGTATACACAAGCCGCGTTAGAACCTATGGTTAGAACAAGTCTGCAGTTTTCATTCCGCAAAGTACGCCCTCGCTTTAGAAGTACCAAAAGAATCTGAGTTTTAAGCATAATTTATGTATAACAGTTCAAACAGTTGTTATGCAGGGTGATTTATTAGCTCGTCATCAAAGTTTGACATATGATAGCTAATCCAATTATAAAAAAAAATATTAATGAACATGTCCTATTTCAATTATTTACAAAATTATAACACTTTAAAGTTTTAATTTTTATATCATAATTAACCGCCGCATTTTTTTTAAACACATAAATATTACAAATATTGTTCAAAATAGCCTCCTTCTGCTAAAATACATGCTTCACAACGACGAATTAAAGAGTTCTTCAGTCGAATTAAAATGTCTGGTTGATTTCTCATTTCTTTATTTGATTTCAACAAATTGGAAAATATTGGTTTAACGACTCGACAACTACTCTTCCGCGATGAGGTGGGGCACCATCGTGCTGGTACCACATATTTTGAATTACATTAAGATTTATATCTTCAAGTAAATCAAAAAGTGTATTGTTCAAAAAAAATCTGTAATTTACAGCGTTCAAACGTCCATCAAGTACATGCAAACCTAGTAAATTGTTGTTAAATATTCCACCCCAAATGTTGATGCTGGACGTTGTTGAAATTTCCTATGCCCAGATATGTTCATTATGGTAATTATTTATACCATCTCGTGTAAAACATAATCCATCTGTGCAGAAAACATTTGAAATGAAGTCATTATTTTGGGCATGTTGCTGCAATAACCATTCACAAAATGCTAACCGTTGCTGATTATCTCCTGGCTGTTGAGCTTGAACATTCTGTTTACGATACGGATGAAGGACTTCGCGGTTCAATACGCACCATGCAAAATTTTGACTTAAATGTATGTTGTGTGCTATTCTTCGAGTGCAGATGCTTCAATGACAGCATTAATTACAGCTTCTTCGTTCTCTACATTAACTACATGCGGTCGAATAGCATTTGCTGGAGCAGGATTACCCGTTTCTCGAAGTCTTCTGAAAGAATCGCTAAAAACTGAATAATATGGCAAATGTCGCAGTGGAAATCTTTCTTGATATTCTCGTAGTGATTGTCGAGCATGTCAGAAAATTATATCAGCATACTCTTCAGTGCTATAAGCGTACATTTTCAGTTTCTTCTTGTATGTAATAATTAAACCTTACACCAACTGACGTATTACAATGACAACTTTGTTTTTGTTGAATGTTTGATTTTACTGACTATTAATAAATTCGCTGCAGAAAACTTTAAAGTGTTATAATTTCGTAAATAATTGAAATAATAATTTTGATATATGGATTAGCTATCATATGTCAAAGTTTCATGGTGGGCTAATAAATCACCCTGTATAATAAAAAGATGTTTATTTTATTTTGAATTTATTTATTTATTATTGTAGACCTTTTTATGCATTTTTGCAGGTGTGGGTTTTTAGGCCTCAAAAGTGCATTTTATTATGTAGTTAACAAAGTAGTTAGATATTTAAGTACTAACTACCAAGTAGTTAAATTACTTTTTGGTGAAAGTAGTTATACTCCATTACTTTTTTCAAGTAGTTTGCCCAGCTCTGATATTTATATATAAATGTAGGCGCTCGTGGATAAAATCCACCTAGGGTTATTCCCCAAGTTACTATATTCCGTGCTCATAGATAAACTTGCGGTATTCCCCGAGTTCTATATATGATGTATAAATCAAGGAAGGTAGTTCTAGTTTTAAGTGTTATTCAACGCTAGATTGTTGTATATTTTTCATTAAACTAAAACTAACACCAGGCTTAGAACTAGAACCATTCAGGTTTAGCAGTCTTAAGAGACGCATGGCTAAATCCGAATATTTCTAGTTGTAGGTCTATAGTTACTACTAGTGCTAAATCTAGTTTCAGTTGTTATTGAGCGTTAGATTATTGTATATTGAACTAAAACTGCTGCTTGAAGGCGCAGGGCTAAACCCATAACTTTGTAGTTTTAACTGTAATTCAGCGCTGACGTCACGAACGGGCCTTCGAACTGTGCACTTGCATGCCATGGAATTGGTCTTCCTCTCCCAATTCAACAATTAGGAAACATTTCATTTAATGAATTTCGAATATTTTGGCAATAGTGTACAGGGCATCCATCATACTGGAAACCCATATTACATCTATTTTCTAAAGGCACATGGTCAAGCAGGTCTGTTAAATTGTTATGTAAAAATTCATTGTATGCTGCGCTAGTTATAAATTATTTCCAATGAGCACGTTTACGCAAAATTTTGTTTGTTTCATTTCCCTTGTTAGATACGGATTTTCATCAGTCCAATAATGTAAATTATGAAGATTTCTTATACCTTTTCTATCAAACGTGGATTCATCTGTCCACAAAATTCTTTTCAAGAAATATCCATCTTCAATGTCAGCATTAAGAAGGAAACGGCAAAATCGAATCCTTCGCTCCAGATTGCCTTCTTCTAGTGCTTGGACAAGAGTATAGTGGTATAGATGGTTTCCCATTTGTCGAAGAGTTGACCATACCTTCTATTGTGTATCCCCAGATTAGTGGCTGCGTTTTTTGTACTGGATGTCGGACCTTCTAGACGACTAGGTTCTATACGTTCGACTTTTTTTTTAGTTACCAGTCTCAGCTAAACGCCGATAAGTAGCACCAAATACGCTAATATGAAGGATTCGTCAATTTGGATACCGTTCCTGGTACTCTCGACGAGCTGCTGCCGCGTTTCCGTCACAGAAACCATAAACGTATCATATGTCAGATATTCAATACTTGTAAACGATAAAATTTTACGCAAAAATTAAATTCAAATTAAAATAAACAATATTAACTGAAACATTGTGAACATTCCATGGCTTACTAATAAAAGACGAAATGTCCTGCTACCACTGGCTATTATTATTATTTAATGAACCTTAGTATTGCTCAAAGGTTTGTAGGTGTCAAAAAAGCTTTACCGAAAATGTTATGTCTTAGACGGCCTCTGGCGACGCTATTACACAGTATATGTGTAGCCGTTTCTGACTCGTCGTTGCAAAGTCGACAAGTTTGATCCTCAATTTGTCCAATGTGCAAGAGGTGGTGTTTTAGGGGCGCATGGCCGGTCAGAGCGTCCTTAGATCCTGTTTGCTGAGGCGTAAAACCTACTCTTCGCTCGTCTGTGACCTGGAAGTTGTTTCCAGCGTAAGGCTATTACCTTTGAGGCCTCCCAATTGTTGATTATTTGTTTTGGTTTTTTTGTGAAGTCCAAAACCGGGTTTGGGTAAAATAATTCGCTGTCTCTCTGGCCAGCTTGTCCGGCTTCTCATTGCCCTCAATGTTTCTGTGACCTGGAACCCACCATAGAGTAACATCACAGCCCCTAGCGAGTTCTCTCAGCTTGCTGGTACACTCTCTGATCAGTGTCCAACTGTCTGTGAAAATGTTTCTGGATGCACCTTTCTGTCCCTTTGGTAGGTTCAAAGCGGTGCAGAAGTTTATAGCAAGAATTTCTGCTTGAACAATGGTTATGTCTGAGCTGAGGGGCAATGTAATGTGGGTATTTGGTCCACTGATGCCAATGCTACTCAGGCTAGGGCTCCTCTTTTAAATTGAGGCTCACCCTTCCTGCAATCATTCCTGCTTCATACCCTTCTTAATCATTCTAGCACTGGCTAAATGTAAAACATTTGTATAATTGATGATTTATAATTATTAACGAATTAAGTTTTGTTTATTGAATTTATGAATTAACGTTTTTTAGTTCCTTTAAGTTAAAATAAATAGTAGGCGTAATCGACTTTAAATTATACATTCGCCATGCTTATTTTATTATTAGCTAATTGGAAAGACATTTACCCCTGGTTTATATCTCATTTGAAAGGTTATAAAACAGAGAAATTTTTAATATGATTTGTAAGCCCAAATGTATTATTAAAATTTTGAAATAGACGCTCATAAAACATTAGTTTAATAATTAACTTAATTCACGTAATATTTTTTCCCTGTATTTTTAAACAATCGAAATATTTAAAATATTTTTCAACTTAAAATGTGTATTAGAGTGTAATTTATCTAGAGAAGTCAATATGATGTCAAAGAAAGTATTATTAATCTCTAAATTCCAATATTTGTATTAGTATATACTAAAAATGTACCAAAACCAAAAAATTGAAATAATTTCTAAACTATTTAACTTTGTATAAGGCATATTTGTCTTAATCACTTCCAAATTTTTGTCTATAAGAGACACTTCCTTCCCCATATTAATCCGTTATATCGAGGTTTTAATATAATAACATAAAAAATTATATTTTGAAAATTACTTTGTGCATTTTTCACTTCTAATTCGAGTTCATATAAAGCTATATTATCCCCTGTATGGATAACCTGTGAAGATGTTTCTTTTAACAAAAACTCTAGCCGGCTGTTGATCTCATCAATTTCTTTTTTTGTAGCATTCTTCATTGCTATTTGAGCCGGAGATAAATCATCAGTCCATGAATCTAACATTAAAGAATCATCCTCATATGATATTGTTTTTAAAACTATTACATCTCGATCTATAAAGTAATTATTGAATAAAGCAGGATTTTTTAAGTTATTTAAGCATCATTACCATCTGCTGATTTTCTATGACTCAGTTTGTATTTCTTTTTTGGAGTTGGATCAATTGTTACTACCTACACAAGATTAATTTAAAAAAAAACAGTTCATAATAATTGTAAAAAAAGTACCTCATCATCATCAGAATGTATCTCCAATGTTTCAGGGCCAGAATCAACTTGAGCTGTAATTTTTTGCATTTGTTTAAGTGCTTCTTTACTGGCAGCTCGTCGTGGAACCCTTGTGGGAGTATCAAGGGTCATCTCCTTCTTCTTAGGCATTGTAACACTACAATAAAAAAATTTCAATTTTGAAAAATAAAAAAAATCAACTTCCGGTATTTACATAAACATATTTTTCTTTTTTAAATGATTCAAAATCGTTAAGTTCAAATCACATTCCTAAAAGGTGTACCTTGAAGGTCACACTTAAAGTTTACGTTAAAATCGAATGTAAATATCCGAAAAAACCGTTGGAAAATAAAGAATTTAAGAATGTTTAGGTGCCGTGTCTAGTTACGGGGTGTTAAGTTATGTGCGATAAACACCATTACAAGCAATGCGAAAAGCGTACTTACACGGTTTGTAAAATAGTCGTCAACAATTGCCGGAACAATTCTGCATAATAGGTTTTATGTTTTTTCGTTAAGAAACTGTTATGAATTTCGTATTTTCCGGCTTTTAGAATGTTTAAAAAGTCACAAACTTCAACCTGTCAAAACTACTCAGAATGCTTAAGCGGCCATCTTTGAACAGTTGAGGTGACGCCAAACTAGGTTATGGCGGGATTTTCGATTGTAATGTTAAACAGTTTGATTACTGCTGGCAATTGACTCGTGTATATTTTGAACGATAAAAATAGATTTTGTTAATATTTTTTGATTAATTCTATGTTGTAATGTCTTAAAATGGGTTGAGAAAATTATTAGAAAAATTACACTAGACAACAAATTTCGACTTTTTTAATTTTTCTTTAGTAACTATGTACAGTTTTAATTTCAGTTAATTTTTACATTTCGAGGGAAAGAAATCCAGGTGTGAGTGTAAAAAATGTATTTTTTGTAATTCTGTAATTACAGTACTAAAACGGGAGCTGTAATGAGATTTTAGTAACATTTTATGGAAGCAGTTCAAGTTGGTGATATTGGGTCATTAATATGTCTAGTTGTCAAGGTGACAATTTTTGTTTATGGATGTTTAAACATGTTCTTAACATCAAATACAAGGTTCACAATGATGAAGACACGTTGAACTCTGAGCAATTTCTCTTATTTTGGGAGGTGTACATGAAACATTTTTTTTAGGTCAATTCAAATTTCTATTTTCAATTGTTACGGTGTTACCAACTGCTACATACCTTAGCGATATTTACGTTCAGGTTCATCTTTATATTATTAATTATACAGGTTGATTAAAAGTTTTGGACCCCTTGAATTTTTTTCAAACGGGTTTTTTTTTTGAAGGATTTTTTTCTTTTTTCAAGGCTTTTATTTATTACTTTTTTGTTTTTTTGTTATGTCTAAATTTTTTTTTACAGTGGCGTACATTTTCGGTGTCGAAGGGTCAACATTTTTTTAAATGGCAACCTACATTTTTTATTCAATAATCTGAAAGAATACATTTTTTTGAGTATCTTAGAGCAAATTTTGAGTTAGGTTGCTTGCATAAGAAAAATTTTGCGAAAAATTTTCTTTTTATTAATAAATGCATTTCAAACTATCGCGATGGCACGAACTTATCAAAATAATCCAAGTGGGCTTTGTTCGTAGCTATGGTTACGTTGAATGATATTTTTACAAACAAATAAATGAATAGTTGTTTGGTAATTTTGAACATTCAAAATTACTTTAATGTGACGTTAGTTAAACCAAATTTTCTTCGAAAATACATAATTCTACTGTTAATTTCAAAAAATCTTCTAAAAAATATCTCTTTCTGAAAAAGATAGAATTAAAATCCTCATGATGTGTGGTTACGGAGATATGAGAAGAACCACTGTGGAAGTCTGCGCACTTTTTAATGAGGTACATAACGATCGCCCAGCAATATCACGATCCACGGTGGGTAAAATTCTTGCTAAATACGAGATTTCAGATATTTCATAAAAATTTCAGATATTAGGCCTTAGGGAATCCCAGGTGGAGACTCATACACAGTTTCCAAGAAAAGTTAATGTTTGGGCTGGTATAGTGAGAAACAGAACATTGGGACCATTCTTTTTTATGAAAATCTGACAGGAAGATGTGGTTCCAACACTAAACAGCGATAGCGATATACCCAAATGCAGATCAACCGAAAAAAAAAAAAAGAAAAATAACGCTTATTTTCTGCAGATACATCATGCGTGCGATACATCATTGGAAAGCTGTTTAAAATCATCAAGTATGTTTAAAATTATTCAACGGCAGTATATTCTACTTAAAAAAGTGTCTTGAGAACGTATCAACCCCATTTCTCTAATTTGAAAAATAAACGAAATATGAGCATTTTTTGAAATCACGAAAATTTGACTTTTTGGCTATAACTTAAAAACAAAAGAAGATAGAGGTTTGATGTTTGCGGGATTGGATTAGTCTCGAAAAAAGAGACCGGGACANAAAAATTTTCTTTTTATTAATAAATGATTTCAAACTATCGCGATGGCACGAACTTATCAAAATAATCCAAGTGGGCTTTGTTCGTAGCTATGGTTACGTTGAATGATATTTTTACAAACAAATAAATGAATAGTTGTTTGGTAATTTTGAACATTCAAAATTACTTTAATGTGACGTTAGTTAAACCAAATTTTCTTCGAAAATACATAATTCTACTGTTAATTTCAAGAAATCTTCTAAAAAATGTCTCTTTCGGAAAAAGATAGAATTGAAATGATGTGTGGTTACGGAGATATAAGAAGAACCACTGTGGAAGTCTGCGTACTTTTTAATGAACTTCATAACGATCGCCCAGCAATATCACGATTCACGGTGGGTAAAATTTTTGCTAAATACGAGATCATGGGCATGTGCGCGACTTGCCAAGATCTGGTCGTCCCACAATCGATGAAGATGCATTTCTTGAAATTTTGTTAAGAGTTGCTGATAATCCTCATACGGCTTCTCGTGAAGTAGGTTTAGAAATAAATTTGAGTCAAAGTATTACACCGACATAAATTCCATACTTATAAAATTTCACTAATTCAAGAACTAGTAGAAAATGATTTTGACCGTCGACTGCAATTCTGCGAACAAATGCAAATTTTGTGTAATAATGACACAATCTTTGCGAAAAATATTGTTTTTTTGGACGAAGCTACCTTTTCTTTAAGTGGAACCGTAAACCGACAAAATTGCAGATATTGGGTCTTAGGGAATCCCAGGTGGAGACTCATACACAGTTTCCAAAAAAAGTTAATGTTTGGGCTGGTATAGTGAGAAACAGAATATTGGGACCATTTTTTTAATGAAAATCTGACAGGAAGATGTGGTTCCAACACTAAATAGCGATAGCGATATACCCAAATGCAGATCAACCGAAAAAAAATTGAAAAATAACGCTTATTTTCTGCAGATACATCATGCGTGCGATACATCATTGGAAAACTAAAAGTATGCTCTTTCAAATCATCAAGTATGTTTAAAATTTTTCAACGGCAGTATATTCTACTTATAAAAGTGTCTTAAGAACGTATCCCATTTCTCTAATTAACTAAAACGAAAATGAAAAATAAACGGAATATGAGCATTTTTTGAAATCACGAAAATTTGACTTTTTGGCTATAACTTAAAAACAAAAGAAGATTGATGTTTGCGGGATTGGATTAGTCTCGAAAAAAGAGACCGGACATGGCACCTACTTTTTTCGTATCTCTTATAGTATCTGAGATAGCCAGTAATAACACCCAAATTTGCTCACTCTGTACAACGCAAGACCAAAAATATGATGATTTAACTCAACTTATCTAAAAATCCTCAATGGATCTACACTAGCTGTGTGAAATTGTTGGTTTGTCTTGATATGTTTTGCCACCTACATTATCGAAATTTGTTATTGACAATCAGACGGTAAGACCAACTAGCAATATAAGGTAATTCTAAAGATTACCAATTAATAGAAATAAAACAAGAGAAAGCTGCAAACAAAAGCAATCCAAGGTATAAAAACTTTTCTGAAGCAAACATAAACCATTTTACATAGAATCTTCTAAAAACGAAGAGGATTAGGAAAATTTGGTGCGCGCCAAAAAGTTTTTAAGTTTCACAAAAAAGTAGCTCAGGTTCGCGAAATCCGCAACTTTATCTTTCATAATAACTGAGATACCCTGCAAATCCATCGAAATTTGGACACCCTGTACAGAATGGCATGAAATTCGTTTTGGTCGCGTCACAGCATCAAAACTGTATGAAGCAGCCCGTTTGAAAACCGTCGATGGCTCCTTGGTTGAAACAATAATGGGAGCTAGTAAAAAAAAAATAACCACTTCAGCCATTACTAGAGGCAAAATCTTAGAACCTCTAAGATCTTTTTTGAACCACCCTGTACAGGTGTCCCAATTTCGTTGTCCGCATAGACTATCTCCGAAACTAAAAGATAGAAAAAAAGTAGCTTACATGTCATGATCTCGTTTTTCGAAAAAATGCTGTGAAAATGAACACCTATCGTATTTTGTTTTCGCCCTATCGGCAAAAATTGAAAATTTTGCGAAAACGACAATCGCGAATATCTCACTTATTATCAAAGATGTAGTATTATAAATAAAACATTATAGGGGCAACTTTTTACGAAGAATTCAGTGGCGTGGGTAGAATTTTTTTCCCATCTTTTATTTTTGATCAGTAACTTTATTTTTTTAAATGGAAACCATAGTTGGCTATGACCTAAAATAATTTGTTATTTTAAGTTATTTTCTTCTGATAACAAACTATATATATTTGTTAGCATTTTCTTGAAAAACGAGATCATGACATGTAAGCTACATTTTTTCTATCTCTTTTAGTTTCAGAGATAGCCTATGTGGACAACAAAATTGGGACACACCCTGTACTTTTGTGGAAGAAAGAAGGGAATTTTTGTGTTGCAAGTCCTAAGCTTGAGGAAACCAAAGTAAATAACATTTACAATGTCACTTGAGCTTCTCTCCTCTTCACATCCTCTTCAGAAGATGTACTTGTTTGTAGATCCATCAACTCATCAGAGGCTGTAAATGGGTTTGAACTTTTAGAAGGAGAAGGTATTTCCATACCATCACTTTCTTCTAATTCCACTTTAGTTCGTTTCGGGGACTGTATAACGTCCGGTGATAAATTCTTATGTGGTACAACTTCTGGTTTTAATCGTAACTTAATATTTGAGTCACCTTGGTCCTTAAATGTTTTGAAAAACATCAAATTTTCAGCGTCATTTTCAAACTAAAAGAAAAATAATTAAATAAGATAATCAATAGGGCCGTTAAGGTCAATCGATTAGAAAGACCGTCTTTCAAAAAATCGATAATGTAAATTAAATTAGACGGATTAGTAACGTTTTCACGTTCGAAAATTGTTTAATTTTCGCAATAATTAATGTAAAACTTTAAAATTCCCCACCCCTGATTCATTGTGACGTTTTAAGTAAGAAGAAAGAAATCGCAGACGTGATTTGTCTCCCGTTTTCTTCTAGCGCATAAGATTCGTAGCATTGTCTCTCTCCAGGAATTTTATTGATTTTTATACGCTCCAATCGTACGCTCAAATCTGAGTGACGCGCTACTGAATTCGCGGCCTGCAATTTCTAACTTTATTATTTTTTTTTGGAAAAACTAAGCCTCGGAATCAAAAATTAAAAAATATGGGGTCAATCAATTTTAAAAAACTTTCGAATGAGCCAATAAAAAAAAATACTTAACGGCCCTATTTACAAATATATAATTTAAACTTACATCAAAGTGTTGTTCACAGCAGACAAAACGTGTTGTAATGTTGGGATTTTTATCTAAACCTACTGCCTCAAACCATCGTTTTCGACGGTCTACATTTAGTGGAACTGGTACAAAATATAGTTTTGGATTTTTATTTTTATCACTGTCACAAGTTGGCACAAAGCAACTATTTCTAAAACTCATCTTAACTTTACTTATTCTTAACACGTAAACAGTCGACGATACTATACGTTTGATATTTGGGGTGCGTTTGGAGGTTAACGCGAGACTCGAAAATATCATAACAACACAGAGGTCGCCACATGTAACTAACTACAAAACATAGAACTTTAATGAATGAGTGCTTTAAGTCTTATGAAACGTGTTCTTTAATATACTATTGTCTGCCGCTAAATGCACAGTTTACTAGATAGTAGCACAAAGTGTCACTTTACTGCCGCAAATGGTTCTTTATTTTTTGTAATTCGCGTTTTTATACTTTTTTTTTAACAAAAATAAAGTAAATTTTGGCAATGTAGGGAAATAGGTATGTAGTAGTTGGTAACACCGGAACGCTTGAAAATAGAAACTTTGAATTGACAATTAGAAACTGTCAAAACACAAAATATATTCACCTGAAGAAAATGTTTGATGTACACCTCCCAAAATAAGAGAAATAATAATAAAGCATCACTTTGCCGACTTGGTACATAAATAACTATTACATTATCGATTTTTTGAAAGACGGTCTTTCTAATCGATTGACCTTAACGACCCTATTGTTAGCACGAAATAGTCGACGATATTACGTTTGGAGGTTAACGTGAGACTCAAAAATATCACAACAACACAGAGGTCGCCACATGTAACTAACTAAAAAACATAGAACGTCTGTGATTTCTTTCTTCTTACTTAAAACGTCATCTGGAGTCGGGGGTGGGGAATTTTAAACTTTTACATTAATTATTGAATGTCTAATTGAATTTAGATTAGCGATTTTTTGAAAGACGCTCTTTCTAATTGATTGACCTTAACGGCCCTATTAAAAATAAAGTATCATCCTTCAAAAGAAATATTGTTTTTCAATACATACAATACATTCGATAAAATTATTATAAACAATGTATGAAAAAATCGCTGAAACGGGTCTAAAGATTTAAATTTTTTGGTGTATGTTTACATTTTTCCGCCATTTTTAAACGAACAAACATTTTTTTTTAAATGGAAAACCCCATTTTTTATTTCGGAATTTGAAAGAGGATTTTTTTCTGAATTATGTACAATAAATATTAATATCGGTTACATAAGAAAATGTTTATTTATTTTTTGATTTAGATACACATTTATTTGATATAGAAAATAGCAGTAGCAGTGCGTAACCATGGCAACCAATTGTTTTGATTTGACATTTCCAAGTGTCAAAATTCGATTTAACGCCAGTCTTCTGGGTTATGTTGATGACCTAATGTTAGCATTCGAGTCATCGACATTATTGCAGAATGAAAGACCTTCTTTGGTTGAGAAATACTGTAACAGTTCTTTTTGGCGATTACGATACACAGAAATATGTGTNTGTTTAAACATCCATAGACAAAAATTGTCACATTGACAACTAGAAAAATTAATGACCCAATGTCACCAACGTGAACTGGTTCCATAAAATGTTACTAAAATCTCATTACAGCATCGGATGCTGTAAAGAGTGTCATTACAGCACCCGTTTGAGTACTGTAATAGCTTTCATTATATTAACAAAACAAATCGTTTGACACATGTCATAATATTGGTAAGTTAGAATATCTTCATATCGTTAAATTTTGCGGTTGGCGATAAAATGTATGCAACACGTCAGCAAAGTGTCTTTATCGAACTCGCCTGTTTACTCGCCTCGCTCGCTTCGCTCGTTCGACTCGCAAACTCAGACTCGTTCGATAAAGCATCACTTTGCCAACTTGGTACATAAATAACTATTACATTATCGATGTTTTGAAATACGGTCTTTCTAATCGATTGACCTTAACGGCCCTATTGTTAACACGAAATAGTCGACGATATTACGTTTGGAGGTTAACGTGAGACTCAAAAATATCACAACAACACAGAGATCGCCACATGTAACTAACTAAAAAACATAGAACGTCTGTGATTTCTTTCTTCTTACTTAAAACGTCATCTGGAGTCGGGGGTGGGGAATTTTAAACTTTTACATTAATTATTGAATGTCTAATTGAATTTAGATTAGCGATTTTTTGAAAGACGGTCTTTCTAATCGATTGACCTTAACGGCCCTATTAAAAATAAAGTATCATCTTTCAAAAGAATATTGTTTTTCAATACATACAGTACGTTTCAAAAGTAACGGATAAATTCGATAAAATTATTATAAACAATGTATGAAAAAATCGCTGAAACGGGTCTCAAGATTTAAATTTTTAGCAATTTTTTGGTGTATGTTTAAATTTTTTCCGCCATTTTTAAACGAGTTTTTCGAATTTTTTTTTAAATGGAAAACCCCATTTTTTATTTCGGAATTTGAAAGAGGATTTTTTTCTGAATTATGTACAATAAATATTAATATCGGTTACATAAGAAAATGTAAAAAAAAAAATTAATTAAAGTTTCATTATTTCCCATTTATTTGATACAGAAAATAGCAGTAGCAGTGCGTAACCATGGCAACCAATTGTTTTGATTTGACATTTCCAAGTGTCAAAATTCGATTTAACGCCAGTCTTCTGGGTTATGTTGATGACCTAATGTTAGCATTCGAGTCATCGACATTATTGCAGAATGAAAGACCTTCTTTGGTTGAGAAATACTGTAACAGTTCTTTTTGGCGATTACGATACACAGATATATGTGTGCCTGGAGCTAACTTCCATCCTTAAAGTATAGATCCTAGTATTTCTGCTTGAAATTTTGACAAATTCAGATCTCGGATAAGGTCATTTCATTCTGACTGATTTACTAAGTGAGGTTCGTCCTCTTGAAATGGTAAATAATCATCATCGCTGGTCGATAACTCGGAAATTTGTTCTTGTATTCCTGCAATGGCATATTCTTCACTCGAAACACCTAGAGGTCTTGGTACTGGCAAGGCTTCTGAATGAAGTACTGGACAAGTAGCAGAAGAGACACTAGCGTAACTAATCTTGTTCTTATTTTTGTTGGAGAATCCGAAAGTTTTCGTGCAGCAAAAGTAGCAATCAGACAAATGATCCGTTCGATCACGCCAAATCGCTTGACCGTACGCAGCAAATGCGAGAAGCCCATTCCTTATCTTGATTTTTAATTTTTAGACCAAAATTGAGGAAATATAAATTCTCTATTAAAGGCGAAATAATACGTTTATGTCGTTGGGAAGTGAATTCTCCACACACATAACAGAAGCTGTTGGTATTATTTGTACAGACACGGAACATTATGAAACAAAAAAACGTTCAGCTATCACAAACAGAGTTAAATTAAATCTAACGAACCAGAAATCTACAAATTTCTAATTTCATTGGCTCCAGAGCACAAATGGATTCTGGAATTAAATGTTGTGACGTAGAAAACAGGCAAGGACATGTTCAGAATACTCGGCAGTACAATATATTTTGTAGTATCTTTCTTATACATACAGTGATGGGCGCTGGGTAGTTACACCCAGCATCGACCTGTCCATCTTTTTTTGCGTTACTTTGAACCTTTTGGCAGTGGCACCGTTAATGTTAAAGTTTCGGGGCTGTATGTCATAACCGGGAGCACGCATTGATTGAAATTTTTTATTTTCAAATATATAGGAATATTGCTCTTGAAGATATTTCTAAGTTTTCCGTAAGCTGCCCATGCGAATGTCATGCTTCTATTTAGTTAGTTTGCTTGATTAGCTCTCGATACACGAACCTCATTTGTTTGTTTGTTTGTTTATTAGTTTGTTACAAAATATACATAGCTGTCAACTCTCTCAATTTCATTATCCCCAATGTTGATGTTAGAGCTGGGAACAAGATTTGTCATAACTTTTGTTGATATTTAGCCCGACTTTTGCAGGGGCACACACCTCCTGTAAGTCGTTCAGCATCAGTTTCATCTCTCCAAGGCTATCAGAAATAAGGACTATAGCATCCACGTAGCGCAAATTACTGTATTTAAATTAAAATCCCAAAAAGAAATTTCAGAAGACTTGCTCCTTGCGTGCCTAACATACACATAAAATAATTAAGAAGACATGAAGTGTAAAAATACTTACGGGTGATAAATGATAGATTTTAAATCTTTTCTTTTTTGCATTACGCTCGTTATAGGCACAAAACACGCAAAATTATTTCGTTATAGCCGAGATTTTTAACATTTTAAGGATAGAATTCTTGTCAGGACCTAAAGGCATGCTCGTTATAAAGCGAGTGCTCGTTATAACCGGTCTTCACTGTACTATAAATTGTAAAACAGAGATACTAGCGGCACCTGTTGTCGAAAATGCGATATAAAAATTGTATTTGAACATGTTATTACACCGCCCATAAAACTGTTTCTTTACTTCTTTTAGATATCATTTGGGGAGACACCTATGAATGAAAACGTGTCATGTCAAACCAAAAGATTATGTTAGAGGGAATAGCGAACGAATTATTACAGTACATCTTTAAATTTATGTTTTTAAGCTTCTCCGTGCGATTAGTCAGTTGGGCAATAGATGGCGATAGTAGTTAACGTAACACAGAACGGTGTGCAACGCTCTCGTTCGGCCAAAGCCGTTTTAATTCGGATTTTTTATTGTTCATCTCTAAAACTACGTTTAGTACAGATTTTAGAATCAATTCAAGTAATAAATAATAGTATCACATATCCTTTAGCTCGCCTATACCAATATGAAAACTCTTGAATTAAGAGCTATATAACAAAAGTGATTTAAAAGGTGAATTTTTAATATTTTTGTTAACAAGTACAGAATGAATTCTGCGTGATAAGATTTATGCTTACCGTAAAGGAACTGTTATAATTTTCAAACTTTCGGTGGTATATAACACTAAAAAACTCACAAAAAACAAACTGTCAAAAGTACTCAGAATGATTTTGTGGCCATCTTGGTACAAGTGACGTGACGTCATATAACTTACGGCGGAACATTTGAATATGATGTTAAAAAAACTTAAATGCCGCTCAAAAGCGATCGTTATTTCAATTCATCAGTTCGACAAATGTATTTAAGTCAATTTTACACTCGAATATTGGACCAAGATTAATTAAAATGTTTCAGAATATATTGAGCGAATTTTAGTAACTATCAAAAACAGTTGGTAACGCTTGATGTTTTTCCGCGCATCCTTTTTCATCACGCGAATATATGACTAAGCATGCGCATCGAAATAATTTGGTTATCGTTTTATGAAAGTATTTTGAAATTAATTATTATGGGAAATATTAATTAATAACATTTTGAGAATGTAAATGTTATCTACATTGCAGTACATTGCTTAAAAGTTATAATACATATATGTTAGTTGGGTTGCCTATATACATACAACGAAACATTTAAAAATCACCTAAAATAATGACCAGTTTGAAACTGCAATAACTTTTGAACGTATTGCTCGATTTGAATAAGATTTTTTTTATTTAAAAGGTCTTCCCTTTGCCAATATTTCTGTTTTGGCACTCTTCAATTTAAGCAATGGTGAATAACGCTAATGCGTGTTTTCTTCCTACACTTTGAAGCATGCTTCAATTACTACTTACATTGCTAGATGAATTTGAGAATGGAATTCCATTTACGCTTTATATCGTGATGTAACATATTCTAATTGTCGAGCTGGGAACCAAAAAATACTTACCAGGAACAACCACTACTACCAAATATTGGTCAGAAAAGCAATAGAACTTTATTGTTATAAGATTAAAACTAACAAAAAGGATGGCGTGGAGTGCAGAAGAACCTGAATGATGTTAAAATACATTAAGATACAGACATAAAGCCTTGTTTATAGATACACATGGCATAAAGCATATTTTTTGAAAGATTCTTACAAGACAGCAAAGTTGCTTTTGGGTATACATCCAAAATGATAAAATTTTAAGTATTTTTATATATTTCTTTTCTTAAAAGTACCTCTTAAATAACATTTTGATTCATTTTATAAATAATTAAATTATTTGTTCCACGAATTTCATTACCTTCAAACTTGACCTCTTTGAAAACTTGAGAAATAATTCATGTCAATTATACCTTGGGCTTCAGTAAGCTAAGGTCATGATTAATTGTACTGCAAACATGTCGCTTTATAAAAATCGACCTCCACATGTCCTGGGATTAGTTTCTTTACTGAAAGGGCGAAATGCACGTGCCCAATTTGAATAGTTTGAGTGTTTTCGGCGATATGGACAATACTGGAGGTGGGACGAGAAGAAAACGAAGTGTTTATTTAGAAGGGGCTCAAACTTATTATCAACCGCATAAAATTAAAGTTGGCCCAGCTCCGAATGGTCCTCCTTTACCTTTCAACAAAAAAGATAACGGGGTTGTTTTTGAATGTTTAACACCTATTAATATGTTGGGATGTGCTATGGGTATTTTTCCAATAAGAGGTTCTTCTTATGGAATGGCGCAAGTGTCTTTACCAATGATAATATATTCAATATTTTTATTACTGGTTATGAGTGGTTATATTGGATATATCAAGTGGGATCACGTGGAAATGGTAAAATCTACAGAGGGGAAATTTGAAGAGGCGGTTATCGATTACCTTTTTACGGTTTATTTAGTACCTATTATAATTTTACCATTGACATGGTATGAAAGTAGAAATATCGCATCGATTTATTGCGAATGGTCCACTTTTGAACGGATTTATCTTAAGATATCGGGAAAAAGGTTAGCGCTATTTATGGGAAATAAACCACTTTTAGTTACGTTGGGTTTACCAATACTTTCTTGTGCTATTATGGTTGTTACTCATATTACGATGGCTCATTTTAGATTTTTACAAGTAAATAAAAAGTAATTTCTGTCATTAAATTATATTTTTAAACACTTTTTTATAGGTTGTTCCTTATTGTTACATAAATACAATAACTTATCTTGTTGGTGGGATGTGGTATTTGCAATGCAACGTTATCGGAAGAATAGCCACTTTAATAGCGGATGATTTTCAACAAGCTCTTCACCATGTTGGTCCATCAGTTAGAGTGGCGGAATATCGATCACTTTGGATGATGTTAAGCAAATTAACAAGAAATCTCGGCGACTCAGTTTGTTATATGGTCACTTTTTTATGTCTTTATCTTTTCCTTGTCATAACATTAACTGTTTATGGATTATTATCACAAATACAAGGTGGTTTGGGGATTAAAGATGTTGGGCTTACCGTTTCGGCCGTATTCGCTACTGGATTGTTATATTTTGTTTGCGATGAAGCGCATTATGCATCAAATTGTGTAAGAAACAAAATGTTGAATTAAAATGTGTTTTGATTTATTTCATTGGAAATTAGGTTCGAGTTTATTTTCAAAAAAAATTGTTGCTTGTTGAGTTATCTTGGATGAATGATGACGCACAACAAGAAGTATGAACATAAAGTTGTTTTTTTAAATGTATTATTATTATTAATTTTTTTTAGATAAATATGTTTTTAAGAGCGACTGAAATGAATCAAACTGATATAAGTCTTGGAGGATTTTTTGATGTAAATCGAAATTTGTTTAAATCAGTAAGTTGTGTATACAGATATTTTAATTATTTATTTATATACAAAGGAATAGTAAATGAGATGCATCTCATTTGTCAGATGTGCAAAAACAGAGCACAACAAATTTTCAGAGTTTTGCTGAATATTATTTCTAGGTGTACATATAAAACAAATCGAATTAAATTATAGTAACTGGAACGTGAAGATTAAGAAGAAAAATCAACGTGTATATACTTGTTGATCAAAATCTTATAGGAATAAACACATCGCTATACAAAAAAAAAACCGCAATGGCAGAAAGTTAGATGATGAAAAGTGTAGGAGTCATTATTAGTGTATTGTGTGGAAGATTGAGAACAGTGAGAACCTGACACATGAGAATTTATTTAGATATTGCTACAATGTTGGAAAAAGAAAGCGTTGATTGTTGAAAATGCATAAATTTTAGCTTTCGCCTTGTGTATAACCACATAAACGTGTTCATTAAATAATAATTTGCACTAGAAAACAGTTCCTTAGGCAGCTCTTTTGTCTAAAGAATAAAAATTGTTAGGAAAGGTTAGTTTTCTTTTGAAATAGCAATTAAACCGTGGATTGTGTTGAGTAAGGTTAGTTTTGTTTACAAATGTCAATCTTCCCGCTAAAGTATGTTGATCTAACCTAACTCTTACTTTCAATAAGTATTACAAATTTATTCCATCTTCTTGATTATGCTCTGTCATACATCCATTTTGGATACAAGACTTTATTTTAAAAATATTCAGATCGATATTAGTTCGTGCTGGTGTTCATTTCAGTTTGTAAGTGTCAAATATTCGTGTACCAACTGAGTAAGTTATGGATATTCAAGTCAATCCCTAACTGCCACTAGCAGTAATTCTTGCAGTAGATCTTTAGATAACATTGCGATTTGTTAGCAATATACCAAATTGGTGGACAGATATGCTATATTTGGCAAGTCTTGATTAACTCTGCTTGCTGACATACACAAAAGCATTTAGTGTGGCCGAGGCTTGTATCAAATTCTTAGAATATCTTTTGATTTGCATACTGCACTAATAAGACAACGTTTTATTGGGCAAATATTAAGACCTGAATTATAATTTTCTGTATTTGAAATATGTCTTGAAACAGGCGTTGGTCTAACTTTGAGTAGTGAGAAATACTAGTTTAATCACAATGGGCTGAGATATGTAGGGTATGTATGAGATATACAGGGTGCCCATTATGTATGGAATATAGTATATATCTTGGTAAATATTGACTTTATAAAAAACATTTTGTACAAAAGTTGTTTAATATTGTATTTGCCATAATAAGACTGCATTCAATTGTTTTTAATTCAGAAAACAAATGAGTAACGAATAACATTTGAATTTTCTTAAATGGCAATGTATCCTTTCGTTAGGCTCATTTGATAGAGATTACTTTTCTCTTTACGATAACGTAAAGTTTTTGTACCCTTATATATATGGTAATGTATGGGCACCCTGTATAAAATCTCTTGTTGCAGTTTCGTCTAGTTTCCTTCTCTTCGCTTGTAATTCATCATCACATTTATTACTAACAGAACTGTCGCTGTTATCACTTTCGATTATTAATTAGAGTATGCTCTTCTTAATGCAAAAAGCCGTTTTGAAAAATCACATTCAGTTCTTGAGAAAAAAATTTTTGAAATAATCGACAATTTTTTCGAATTTTACAATTTTCGCCAATTAAGTTTTAAAAATTCGTATAAAATCAATTTCTTGGAATATCAGTATGAAAATTTCTTAAAGTGTTAATAAAAGTGTCCTCTTTCTAATGAACCAATACGTTTTGAAGAATAACTTTTAGTTTTTGAGAAAACAATATTTGAAGTTTTGATAAAATTTTCGATGTTGCAATTTTCATCGATAATTTTCAAAATTCGCTATAAAATTAATTTCTTGAAGGATCCTTGTGGAAATATCACCAATTATTAATTAAAGTATCCTCTTTTTAATGCAAAAAGCCGTTTTGAAAAATCACTTTTAGTTCTTGAGAAATAAATTTTTGAAATGATCGACAATTTTTTCGAATTTTGCAATTTTCGCCGATTAAGTTTTAAAAATTCGTATAAAATCCATTTCTTGGAATATGAGTATGAAAATTTCTTAAAGTGTTAATAAAAGTGTCCTCTTTCGAATGAACCAACACGTTTTGAGAAACAACGTTTAGTTTTTGAAAAAACAATATTTGAACTTTTGATAAAATTTTTGATGTTGCAATTTTCATCGATAACTTTCAAAATTCGCTATAAAATTCATTTCTTGAAGGATCTTTGTAGAAATATCACCAATTATTGATTAAAGTATCCTCTTTTTAATGCAACAAGCCGTTTTGAAAAATCACAATTAGTTTTTGAGAAATAAATTTTTGAAATAATCGACAATTCTTTCGAATTTTGCAATTTTCGCCAATTAAATTTTAATAATTCGTATAAAATCGATTTCTTGGAATATGAGTATGAAAATTTCCCAAAGTAATAATAAAAGCGTCCTCTTTCCAATGAACTAACACGTTTTGAAAAATAACTTTTATTTTGTGGGAAAACAATATTTGAAGGTTTGATAGAATTTTTAATGTTGCAATTTTCATCGATAACCAATCATCTCTCATGGTTTTATTGACGGAGTAGAAAGAAGCTGTCTGAAGGGTTAATAAGTTTGTGAATTTCAGGAGACTTTTTATATCTGATTAATTTCATTCAATAATTCATTTGTAATGAATTTTGTCTTTACTTGGACTGGCTTCATCAGCCACACATCGATTATAATAATTGTAAAATTTGTGTTATTTGCTACATGGCATCGTCTAATATATGCTTTTATAATCTTTTCTGTTTTAGTTATTAGCAACAATGGTGACTTATTTAGTAGTTTTACTACAATTCCAAATTAGTATTCCAGAAGATACAGGGGATTATAACATCACTGATGTATTAACGTAAAAGAATTGTAACAAAACCAAATAAAAACAAAACATTTCTTTGATGTTCCTCTGATTTTAAATTGAATTAAAAAAACACAAAAAAGCAGGTGTACATTTTAATTAACCCATGATAATATGTATTCACTCAGTGGCAAACCGTGAAGATTTTAGTAGCCTGATAAAAATTTAACCGTTTCTGTTTCCCCTTTTGCTCGGTCGAGGTTAAAAGCATAAAAATCGAAAAAAGAAAGTAGGTTTATATTTTATTCAATAAATCAATCGGGGAATAACATCAACGATAAATATATGAGTAAATAAAAGACATTTTTAATTAATTCATTAATTTTATAGGTGAGTAATTCTTTCTCTTTTGATTTAAAAGTTGAAATTTGCCTGGAGCAAATTTAATCTGGTGGGATTTTTGGGGTTCAAGGGATGACGATGACGTAACGTGACCTTGTATGGGGTGGGGGCGGTTCGAAATATGCCCGAGCGTCGCGACGTCAGTGCCACACCGACGTCCAGCGTCGATCTAGAAACTTACATTGGTGTTAGTAAACCTTTTCTACACATGAAAGTGTTTTAGTTTGGCGGCAAATATTTTTTTTTTCAATCCAAAATAGATATTTTTTTTCACCTTAAAATCTGTGTATTAAAAAAAAATGTAAAAATTAATCGTGCCACCTCTTTATCAATAATGATGTAAGTATTATTTGTTTATATTTTAAAAGTTAAGATAATTGTTATTCATTTGGTTTAGTGTAAACAAAAAGGAAATTAATTTTCGGTCTGTTGCACATGAAAATTGAATGTAAATTAGGAACCAATCCTTGATTCTAACATTTTTTTATTTATTTTTTTTTGTAGAAAGTAAAGCTGATTATCATTTTTGCATCAAAGTGCAATCGAACTTGCAATCGTAATGTTCCCAATGATTAATCTTAGTTTGATTAATAAAAATAAATTGATAAATGAGAAGAGTAAAAAGAGTGTTGAGAAAAAAACCTGAAATGTTCACTTTTTGGATACTGATATCGTTTGTGTTTAAATCGGCCACTTCTTACGTAGGTGAGTGTGAGTAAACGCTTTAAAGCTTAGATAAATAAATCGTTCTAATATTATGCCTTTGGGTAAATACTGTTTCTGCGAACGTTTTTTATTGCCGCAAATATTTAGTTTTACTTTTTCTTTAATGTAAAATTTACTAGTATGTACTAAATCGACTTTATCGATTCGTTTCCAATAAATCACGGAAAGTGAGAACTTGTTTTGTCTAATACACGAAAATTATAACGGAAAAACGTCCGTTATAAGTTTTTATGGGATCGTAAAATCACGAATGCGCGAAATGAGATCGTAAAATAATATGCACTGGCTAAGTGATTTTCCGGTAGTTTTGTTCTGGTTATTTTCACTACTACAATGTTAGTTATTTAAAAAACAAATTTGAATCTAAAAATGGTTTTATATATATTTGTTCGAACCACAAACCAAGTTTCTATCTCGTTAACGGTTTTAATTAAGGCCAGTTGCAAATATTTATCTTTCGAGTCGATCCTTTTACAACCGGAAATTGGAAAAAAATCGCTATAAATTTATTTTTTCTTTTTAGAAATCGTCGAAGAAGCTGCGTTTGAAAATACCACGATGAGATTAACTTGCAGACATTTTGACTCTATCATTGTTATTCATAACGCTACATTTATGCCTGTGAGTAATGTTAATAAAAATGATTATGAAGAAGGATTGGTTGAAGTAAGGCGAGCTTTAAATCATAGGTAAGATTTATTTCGTTTTTCATTTTTTTATTTCAAAGTAAATCTATTTCAAAGTATTAAGTCATATCTTAATTAACCATAATCACGCGTAATTTCATTTGCTCCTGTTGATGTTATGGAGATTTGATAAAATTTCTTTGCATCATTTCATTTTACCTCAAAAGCACAAAACGGAGTTCCGACTATATTCATTTTGTTAAACATTAAACGTGACAAAAAGTTATGGTTTGATTCTATCACACATAGAGCTGCATTCCTTACCATACCATTCGCAACGATTATGATAAAAACTCAATAACCAGAAAATTATCTCTTAAAAACATGCAAAGTGGCTTTACTCAAGAAATAATGTATGCTTGAACCGTGTTATTTATTAACTAAACTTTAAGGAAACATATCATCGATTTTATGGTTTCTGTAACAATACATCAAGGATAATCGGAATCAGGAGAATTTCTGGTATGAGTTGTGTACTCTTAGAATAGGAAGCTACAGAAAGCAAGTGATTATGAGGAGACCTAAAATACGATCTCCTAAAAAGCATACCAACGCCAGATTAGATGATGCCCTTGCTGCAGCAATGGGGCACAAAAACCTCTCCACGGAAAATATAGAGCCAAGTAATGAATCAAAATATTGACGAAGACGCATCTATACAATTGTTGCAATAGATGGCAGAATATTTTCAGATCGACGGGCGAATTTCTGTTGGTAATACCAGACCAAGCAGTTCCAACAAGGTGTTACAAAAAGCGAATGATGAATGAATCAATATCAATCACAGCTTATAATAATAACAAGACCTAAGAAAGGTTGAACCACCTTAAAGGGAAGCAAGAAACTGGGGAAGATTGAGAGGTACCCACCCATACATGCTTAAATACTTTAATACATGCCCAACCCAACCCAACCCAACCCATACACGCTTGATCCGGTCAAAAAGAACAATCGGATAAAGTTTTGCTGGAATCCAACATTATAACCGACTGTCAAGTACAACATAACGTAGGTACCTGATATTGTACAAACCCTGAAAATACTTTCCGTTGGCCAGCGATAGAAAATAAGTGTAAAGTCTTGAAATAGTAAATATAATAGCCAGAAAATTATAAAGCAAAAGTATAAAACTGTTAAATTTACAAGACAAGCTATACATACAGAAGGTGGCCATCGTGTACACCTCGTAGAGAGTAGTAGAGATGCTTACAAGTGTATCTATAAATGAACAACTCAAAACCCAAATATCTAGATATAGTGTTGGAACGGATAGTGATTTTTTTTTGCCACATTATCGCGATATTTGAATAAAAATGTCAACTTATTTGGATCCAAGATACAACTCAACTAACGAAGCAACTCTAAACAGATGATACTTTAATTAATAATTGGTGATATTTCCACAAGGATTCTTCAAGAAATTAATTTTATAGCGAATTTTGAATGTTATCGATGAAAATTGCATTATCAAAAATTTTATCAAAACTTCAAATATTGTTTTTTCAAAAACTAAAAGTCATTTTTCAAAATGGGTTGGTTCATTGGAAATAGGATACTTTTATTCACACTTTGGGAAATTTTCATACTCATATTCCAAGAACTGGATTAAATAGGAATTTTTAAAACTTAATCGGCGAAAATTGTAAAATTCGACAAAATTTTCGATCATTTCAAATATGTATTTCTCAAGAACTGAACGTGATTTTTCAAAACGGCTTGTTGCATTAAAAAGAGGATATCTTAATTAATAATTGGTGATATTTCCACAAGGATCCTTCAAGAAATTAATTTTATAGCGAATTTTGAAAGTTATCGATGAAAATTGCGACATCGAAAATTTTATCAAAACTNCAGAAAATTATAAAGCAAAAGTATAAAACTGTTAAATTTACAAGACAAGCTATACTTACAGAAGGTGGTCATCGTGTACACCTCCAACATCGTGAAGAGAGTAGTAGAGATGCTTACAAGTGTATCTATAAATGAACAACTCAAAACCCAAATATCTAGATATAGTGTTATTTGGATCCAAGATACAACTCAACTAACGAAGCAACTCTAAATAGATAATACTTTAATTAATAATTGGTGATATTTCCATAAGGATCCTTCAAGAAATTAATTTTATAGCGAATTTTGAAAGTTATCGATGAAAAGTTACAACATCGAAAATTTTATCAAAACTTCAAATATTGTTTTTTCAAAAACTAAAAGTTATTTTTCAAAATGGGTTGGTTCATTTGAAATAGGACACTTTTATTAACACTTTGGAAAATTTTCATACTCATACTCCAAGAACTGGATTAAATAGGAATTTTTAAAATTTAATCGGCGAAAATTGTAAAATTCGGAAAAATTGTCGATCATTTCAAAAATTTTTTTCTCAAGAACTGAAAGTGATTTTTCAAAACGGCTTATTGCATTAAAAAGAGGATACTTTAATTAATAATTGGCGATATTTCCACAAGGATCCTTCAAGAAATGAATTTTATAGCGAATTTTGAATGTTATCGATGAAAATTGCATTATCAAAAATTTTATCAAAACTTCAAATATTGTTTTTTCAAAAACTACAAGTAATTTTTCAAAATGGGTTGGTTCATTGGAAATAGGACACTTTTATTAACACTTCGGAAAATTTTCATACTCATACTCCAAGAACTGGATTAAATAGGAATTTTTAAAATTTAATCGGCGAAAATTGTAAAATTCGAAAAAATTTTCGATCATTTCAAAAATGTATTTCTCAAGAACTGAAAGTGATTTTTCAAAACGGCTTTTTGCATTAAAAAGAGGATACCTTAATTAATAATTGGTGATACTTCCAAAAGGATCCTTCAAGAAATTAATTTTATAGCGAATTTTGAATGTTATCGATGAAAATTGCGAGATCGAAAATTTTATCAAAACTTCAAATATTGTTTTCTCATAAACTAAATGTTATTTTTCAAAACGGGTTGGTCCATTAGAAAGAGGACATTTTTATTAACACTTTGGGAAATTTTCATACTCCTATTCCATTACTAAAATTGTAAAATTCGACAAAATTTTCGATCATTTCAAAAATTTATTTCTCAAGAACTGAAAGTGATTTTTCAAAACGGCTTTTTGTATTAAAAAGAGGATACTTTAATTAATAATCGAATGTGATAATAGCGACAGTTTTGTTAGTAATGAATGTGATGACGAATTACAAGAGGCTACTCAGGCCACATGTGAGCAGGAGGAATAGAACAGAAAAGTGGAAAATAAACGTTAACAAATAAGAACAGTAACAAGGGAAAGCTTGTAACAGGATTGACACTAGAAGAAAATCAAGAACAGCAACATTGAATTCAATGAGAAATTAAAATCTCCATATAGAAGCCCCACAACACCATCTAACGCAAAGTAATTGATTATAGGATTAGTACTTCGAAATTTGTTTGTTTGTTTGTGGAAACAGTAGATATAGTATTATAGAAAATCGATAATAGCAAAAACAATATTTGGAATTCGAAGGTTGCATGGAGTACATATGAAGATGAATATGGTAGCCACCTCAATAATAATGTTTATTCAAAAAAATTAACTTTGTATTTCATTTATCTCTAAGAAGAAAACATTGTTTAAATGTGGTTCCACTCTGTTGGCAATGTAAAAGTTGTAATTTTCCGCTGAAATTTATGTGTCTTTCTACATTCCCTCTACATTGCCACTTCTTTTATTAATTCTTCCCACTGCATTTATAGTAGATTTATCTATCCCATCTTCCTCTTCCTTGTGGTTTCATATTGAACATTTTCTTTGGTATTCATTCCTCATCGTTTCAAACTAGGTGGCGATGCCATTTCAGCTATTTCTTTTGTATCTCTACTATTAGAGCTCTCAAGCTTAATTCTTATCTCAAGCTCTTATTTCAAACTCTGCCTCTTCTGGTTTTTCGTATTATTTCTCGAAAAATGTTTCATCACTTTCTGCTTTTTTGGTTTGTATCTCTCTAATATTATCCAAGTTAATTTTAGTTCTCAGTTTTTTCTTATCTACCAGGATATTATTTATCTGGTAATAAACTGCACTTCATTTTGTTATTCAATTACGTATCTTTTGATTTATCTTGCCATCTTTACTAATCATGGTCCCAGATGTTCAAATTTTACTACTATACTTTTCCTGTTTTTTGTAGTATATTGCTTTTTTTCTTTTTCCTTATTTATGATCATTCCTTTTTCTTGCAGACAGATTTTCCATATTTGGATATTATTTTGTATTTACACATACTAAATCTCGCGTGTAGATCGGAGTTAAGTTGTGGTATCACAATCTCGTTTTTTTGTTCGATTTTTGACATCTTTTATTATTGTATCCATAGGCTATGAATAATAGTGGGCTTAAACTACCGCATTCTTTAACCCCATTTTACATTCTAAACTGATACATATTTGATGATACTGTGTACATACTTTTGATTACTTTTCGTAGTTTTAAACTTGTCCCCAGTTCGCTTAATGTATTCCATAAACGTTGTTTTGGTGTCTGGTCCAAAGCTGGTTTTAGGTCTAGGAAGGTTAGGTATCCTTATTTTTGTCTACTGTTCTCTTTATTATACTCTGAGAGTGTATATACACAAACTCCAACAATAATCTTCAAACTCTCGGGTTGGAACCTAGAGCCCCGACAAATTAACGCCATTGTGTTCGGTTTTGAGCTATCTGTTTCATTTCCAGCCACGATCTTTATCCAACCTTTATTTCTTCCATAATAATTCCTGTGTTTAACTGTTTGGTCGGAACGCCTTTTGCTCTTTTTCAAGTCTGTCCTTTATCTGAGCTCTTCCTCGTTTTTCTACAGTTTTCGAATAAAGTGTTGTATCTAGTTGTTTCTCCTTTTTTGTGGATTGGCACGATTATGTTCTTCTCCCAATCTTGAAGTATTCAGTCACCGTTCTACTGTTGGTTTCCCTTTTTTTAGTAGTTCTTGCGATATAAGTATTATTTTCGCCTGCTACGTTACGTTTCGAGGTT